TAGAGTTTGTATTTGAGGATTAGAACTTGAAGTCTTTCGAGTGACAAAGTTGAAGGACCAAACTTATCTGGACCTCAGGATTTGTTAGCACGTTTGGGAGCTGAAGTCTTTTTTGGGGGCCTGGAGGATGATGCCTTCCCACAAGATGATTTACGCTCCTGAACTAGAGGGTCATCTTCGGCCATATTGGAGCCTATAGGGCTTGCTGAGGTGGTCACCTATGTGGCACCAACCTCATGCTCTTGAGCCGAGGAGGTCACTTCAACCGGACCAGACTCATATTCACGAGCCGACGAGGTTTCTCCATCTTGGTTGGACTCGCTATCACTAAGGGAGAAACTATTGCTACTCATACTAGAACTAGGAAACAAACTGGAGTGAAGAAGGCTTACCCAAAAAGAAGAGAAAGCGACCTCGGACACAAGACTAGACACCACTGACCTAGAGACCAAAGTGCGAGCTCCAAATCACCACAATTCCAAAGCAAGGCAACAAAATGGAACCCCAAGGCCCCTATTTATAGCTACAATAACCGATATTGGATGGTCCAAATCAAAGCAATCCAGAAGTTCTCGTAGAAACCGATCACACAACCCTCGAGGCGAAAATAGTTGAGTACGTGTTTTGACGTCCATGGGGTTTTGGAATCCGTGTGACATTCGCACACTCCCGGTATGCGATCTAGGTTCTCGATTGAACCGAGTGGGTCGCCAAGGTCTGACCATCGAATTGGACACCGACTCAAAGGAAGACAGACCAAATTGACTTAACTTCATTGTGACCTCCCCGCACCAGGTCAAGACCCCTAGCATGGGGAGTGGGGGCAACTGATGAGGGGTGATTTGGCCCGACCTAGTAAGCAACAAACACGTGGACACAACCTGGTGATTAGATGCATGGCTCAGCATCCTCAGCCACCTCAGTGGGTCAGGCCACCTCGGGTATCTCGGTCACCTCGGATAGCACTGAAACCCGAGTATCTTAGGATGACCAAGCCTGCCGAAGTGACACATAGTAGACTTCTAAAATCTTGCCAGTTGTCTCCAAACCCCTCGGGATCACGCCACACAATCGTTGGCCTTATCCTCATCTCGCCCGAATCGGAGGAACACGATATGCCTTATCAGCTAGCATGTTATCTACCTTCCGGAGCAAAACGGACTCCTACAGATTGGGTCGAAGATCTCGGGAGTGTTTCGTAAGACACACGACATCCTAGCTATATAAGGGCATCAACCCCTGAGACCCAGGTACACGCCATTTAGTGCATTCTAGCTCTCTAGTTCTCAAGCTTTTAGCTCGCTAATTATATCCAACACTAACTTAAGCATTGGAGCAACCATGTCAGGCTAACCACCCCAGGTTCTCTGATTCCATATGTCTTGCAGTTCAACCGACTTACTACACAACTGACGTCTGAGCTGCCTTCTAGCTAGGAGCAACCAGATCGCGCACCATCAATTATATTTTAAATAGTTAAAATAACAAAATTATGTAATAAAATAACATATTTCTTAAAAGTAAAAAATAATCATAAGATAATATTCAAATTAATAATAATTTAATATTTTAACAAAATTAATAATGAAATTTTGTAATAATAGTATAAATTATAATTTTATGTATTATTAAAATAAATAAATAATTAAAATTATAAAATTTAAATAATGATATTATTTAAATAACAAATAATATTTCACTTATATCAATTAATAATTCTAGGAAAATAAAATTCAAGAAAATAATATTCATTAATAATGATTTTAAAATCTTAATCTATATTTATTATATATTTATGTATACTAAAATTAATATTTATTGTATTTTYAGAAATTATTTATAGTTTTCTATGATAAATATATTTTCAAGAATTATGTATAAATCTTTTTTTTTCTTATTTCACAGAAAATTGTTAATAATTATTGGATATTAAACTACTGTTATTTAACTTTTTAAATTTAATTTATTATAATCATTATACTTTTGTTATAATTTTTTCATTGATATTTATTAGAGATTAAACTATTATTTGAGATTATAATATTTACTGACTAATTTAATATATTTTTAGTATTTATTATATTTTTATTAATTTTTTATTATATTTTTATTATCATTATATTTTTAATAATTATGTATTTTTGCTATAAATTTTTAATAATTATTATAAACTAAACTATTGTTATTTATGAGAGGTTAGACTTTTAATTTAGCTAAAATTTGGAGTGTTGATCATAACTTGGTTTAGTTTGGTTGTAGGCTATTTGGCCAACCAAAAGGACATGGTTAGGTTGGGGAGTTGGTTACCCAAAATCTACTTACCATTAGTGAAAATCAACCAAAAGCAGGTTGTATTGGTTTAGGTTGATTTTTGGTTTGGACAGTTGGTTTTAAAAAATTTAAACTTAAAAGATTAAATTTAAAACTTAATTTTAAATTTAAAAAATTACATTGGTACTATTAAAAATAAATTATGATGTAAAATATTTTAGACTAAGAAATATGAAAATTTCTCTATTTTTCGTATTAAAAATTATATTTAAAATATAAAATGTTAATATATATCTTTCATTGGGTTGTTCGATTTCGGTCAATTTACAAATGGCCATAGAAAAACTAATCCAAAGCCAACTAGAAATAATAGAAAACTGACCGGTTCAAGTTGAGTTGATCGGGTTGGTTGATTTCATTAGATTGATGAACAACCTTAGTTGATTGTTATTTTTGTATTATAAAAAGATATTAGAAATGTTATAAAATATAAATAATTGTTAAATTATTTAAAAGCTTAGAAATATAAAACAATTGTATACTCTTATGTATTTTATTGTTTAACTTTCTTTAACAAATCCTATACATTACATGGATCCTGTTAGTATACAGTAAACAAAGATGCTGTCAAAATTTTTTGGTGGGAAAAACAATTCATTACTGCACAAAAACAGAAACAAACGGTTTTTTTTTTTCTTTTTAAATTGAACCCAAGATGAGATTGAACTACTAGTTGAGGAACTCGAGGTATAGCTCCATCAAAATTTACAACCTATGGCAAACATGAACATCAAAATCCAATATGAGATTAAATAGATTCCAGTTTAATTAATACAAGGATAATACATATATATGGACCATGTGACACAAGACCAGATTAAATTGCTCTGCCTATCCTGATCCAACTTAAATATTTTATCTCAACCTCTCAATCACTCAATTACTCGATTTTAATCTTATTCCCTAATATGCCCTCTCAAACTCAAATACATGGAAATCAACGATTATGTGTTTGAACAAAGATTAAAGATTAAAGATTATTGATGATGATGACAATGCCCCCTCAACTATATAATCCAATCCTCCACGCTCGCTATAATACTGGTGCGACAAGTATATAAATGTCACTATGGGCCAACTTTTTGAGCAGATAAAAAATAACCCTGTCGGCCCAATACAAAAATGGGCCAACAGTGGCCAATAAAAAAATACAATGTCTCAACAATAAAAGGATAAACGGAAGAGCGACCACAGTGGGCCAAGATGAAAATGCATTCTTTTCTTGCTTTCTGTTTTTGTTTTTTTGTTTTTCTCTTTTTTTGGGCCAAAATGTAGAAGAGCAACAGGTGAGGTAAGCCAAATTTGTCCTGAGGGTCCGTTTGGTTTGCTGTCAGAATCAGAATTGGAATCAAATTCTTTGGAATCGGATTTAAAATGATTTGTTTTTATAGTCTGTTTGGTTGAAACAATAAGGGAAATGAAAATTTGAATTAGCAAGAATAGGATTTCATTTCCAAGGACCATTTCCTCAAATGAAAGAATGCCATTCTTCCAAGAATAAAAATGGGTTTCCAATTCCACCCAGCCAAATAATTAAAATCTGAATAGCTCATTCTGATTCTAATTCCAAATCCCGACAAATCAAATGGAGCACAAATCATTTAACCACTATCTACAACTAGGGATGGATTCAAGCCGAGCCGAGTCAAATAGTACCAGGCTTGAGCTTGACTCAAGACTATTCTATAAGGCTCAAGCTTGGCTCGGCTCAACTCGTTTTATATTTTATAAAAATATTCTATTATATATTTTATTATAAAAATATTTTAAAAAAAATATTTTATAAAAATAAAAATTATATATAAATTTTTTATTTTATATTTAAAAAATTAAGAATTATAATAATTAACAATTATAATATTTTTTTATATATACTATTTTCTATAATTTTAATATATATATATTCGAACCAGCTTAGAAGCCTTACGAACCAAATTCTAATAAGTTCAAACTCGGCTCTCATAAAAAAACTCGACTCATTGCCACCTGTATCTGCAACATACACGTCCATAATGATTTTTACTGAGAACACTGAATCAGCGATCGGTGACACCACGATAGGGTACCAAGACAGAATTATTCAACACCGGAGCTGAAATCAAATGGAGATTCGTGTTAGAAATGCACAAATAACTATGATCGATGGTGTTATGTATGAGATAACAGCATTGGCGATGGTGTTGATCCATTTAGTGGATTACTGCAAATGCCTCGCTATCCAACACATGAAGTTGGGTCAACCATTAGGAAACTGAACCAAATAAATCAAAGGTGTGAGATATTAAGTTCCAATGTGATGCCGAGGTCATGAAAAGAAAAAGGATTAGGTTCTTAAACAAAGTTCTAGCGGAGCATAGCATAAACGAAAACGATGATTCAGAAATCGCCAAAGTCGAACAAATTAGGCACTCAAAGTGTTCGAAATAGTGAGGCACTGGGGCAGCATTAGAAACAGTGGCATGCATACGGGTAGGATGTGGTTTATAGGGGGAGAGGGCTAGTTGCACCCAAAATTCTCTCTCAACTGCTAAAGTTATGGGTGGATTGAATGGGTCAAATCAAATGAATTGAAGTCAAAAATCAAATTTGTCGGCCCTACTTTTTTTATGTCAAAACTATTGTCAATTTCGCCGGCGATATTGACAATTCCGGCCTTCCATGAATTTGACATCAATTCACGGTTAGGATGCATTCCCCATACTTGGGCTGGGCTGATCGGTACTTCTCCCTTGGTTTTCTCGGTAACAGGCGATGTACTTCTTCGAGTCTTCCACCATAAGTGCTCTGTTTTTATCCACCTTTTCTCAGTAACAGGTAACAGGCAGGAGAAAGTATCATTGTTGGCGCCATGAAGATCGGCTGTGGGAATTATCTAACATCTCTTTTCCTGATCATCTCCGTCTATCTATCCTCCTGTTGCATTGCCATAGACACCATTACACCCACTCAATACATCAGAAACTCAGAAACAATTATCTCAGCTGGTGGAAAATTCAAACTAGGCTTCTTCAGCCCCAGTAATTCTACAAGTCGCTATGTTGGGATTTGGTATAACACAATTCCAGGACAAACAATTGTATGGGTGGCAAATAGAGAAAATCCAACAGTAAATGCTTCTGGAGTTCTGATGATAGCGGATGATGGAAATCTTGTGGTTAGAGACGGATCAAGACACGTTTTGTGGTCAACGAATGTTTCAAATATTGCAAATGCCAACACAAGTGCCCAACTCTCAGATTATGGCAATTTAGTGTTGCGAGCAGCTAGTTCTTCTGGTAATGGCAACACGAACAACGGGATTTTATGGGAGAGTTTCGAACATCCATTAGACTCGTTCTTGACAACAATGAAGATTGGTGTCAACCTGAGAACCGGTGATAAACGAACGCTAACATCACGCAAAAGCGATTCTGATCCTTCCCCTGGAAACTTCTCACTTGGCGTTATTGCTACGGGTATACCTCAAGTGGCTATCCTGAAAGGCTCTCTGCCCTACTGGGTCAGTGGTCCATGGAACAATCGTATCTTTATAGGGATCCCTGCAATGTCCTCCATTTATATCAGTGGATTAAATCTAGTTCGAGATGATACGGAAGGAACTGTATATGTGATGAGGAATGTGGCTGATATCGACGAGTCTTATTTTATAATGTTCAAATTGGATTCTGATGGACTGTTAGTAGAAAGGCAGTGGGATGAAGGGAAGAATGAATGGGTTAGCTGGGCGATCCAAAAAACAGAGTGTGACACTTATGGAAAATGTGGACCGTTTGGAAGCTGTGATGCATCGAGCTCGCCAATATGTACTTGCCTGGAAGGATTTACACCAAAGTCTCCAGAAGAATGGAGTATGAGAAATTGGTCAAGTGGGTGTATAAGGAGAACTTCACTGCTGTGTGAGAGAAACAACACTGCTGGTGAAGAAGGGAAAGCAGATGGGTTTCTCAGGAGGGAAAGGATGAAAGTGCCAGATTTTGCAATCTGGTCAGCTGCCATTGACGTCAAGGCATGTGAAGAGCAATGCTTGAAGAATTGTTCCTGTGTAGCTTTTGCATTTGATAGCGGCATTGGATGTATGTCTTGGAATGGAAGCTTAATTGATATACAGAAGTTCTCTGCGGGTGGTATAGATCTTTACATCCGCTTAGCACATTCAGAAATTGGTAAGGACCTTTCCCCTTTCTATATTTTGCAGAACAAAGTTTATATGATTGTGAACGAATATAATTTCATTATGATTCAATGTGTTATGGGTTGACTGTGCACCTTGCCCTTTTAATTCTGCACCTTTTGCATCGTCCTATGGTCCTTTTTTCTTTACTTTCTGTCTGTTTAATTCTTTTTCGTGTTTGCCCCATCCAACCCCTTTTATTTTCTTGTGAATTCTGGCCTGTTTGCATTTAGCAAATTCTGATTTATTTGTTCTTCAGATTTTATTTTATCTTGTTTATTTGTGAGAAGTAAAATGATGCATTCCCCACTTTATATGAAAGAGAATGGAGGCAGAGGAACGTTTGTTTGTTTGGGAAGAATAAGGTAGGAAGCCAAATGAGGTGATCCCCACTTTATACGAGAGAGAATTAAGGGGAGAATTTGGTAAAAATATTGAATCAGTTTTTTAGATGCAAAATGTATTGCCAATGAATGCAAATGAGACAAAAAGTGCAAATTTTGCATTAGAAAGAAGTGCCAATCCTAGCTGTGGGAGTTCAGCATTGGGTTGCAAATCAGATACCCCGTTTTGTAGATTTAACTAGAGAATGACCCCATACTACGTATGGGGCAATTACATCTCTATATCATCTGCTTTTGTTTTTTTTTTTCTTTGTAATAATATCATTTTGTTGAAGACTACTATTTATCTAGTAAGTATATTTAATTTGAATTCTTTATTTGATTTAAAGAGATTTAATTTATAATTTAAAAGTCATTATAATGAATCTTTTATTTGAATTAAGAAATTAATTGGATGTCACATTTTTTGAAGTGGATTTTTTTATAGGTGTGTGGCCATGTGTCTAAGGTATTCAGTTCAGCCAAGTAATTCAGGCATTGTTCCTTGCCAAAAGAATTTGTTCGACTCTGAAAACAAAAACTTGAAAAAGAAGAATAAAAGAGAGTCAACAAATTCTAATATGCCAGTCAAGAATTCTTGTCCGAGAGTCTCAACAGCCATTTGGTAGGAGCTGAAATCGGTGAACTGAATGACTTAAATAATTTTTGCAAATAAATCATTAAGTAGCTAGGTTTCTAAGAACCTTAATGGCTGATTTTTTTGTTAAGATCTGTACCAAAATGTTTTATTACATGATTACTTTATCCATGTAAAGACAAAATAATAATAAGCCATTCGATTCAGCTAACATCAACCATCATCATGAGAGTCCGGAACTCTTACCTTCTTTGTATAGATAGATGGATAGCTTTCTGAATTAATCCTAGCTGTGTTGCCCTGAGTTTTAAGAACAGGATTGGCAACTAAAAGAATGCAAAGTAACCAGTTATAAATCGGAAGAGTGACATGTTACTTGTTAATTAGAGAGGAAATTATAGAGTTTTTCTTTTTTGTTTAAAGGTTAATTGGGCTAAACAAGTAGCATAATGGGGCAACGCATCCCATACCCTTAACCCCCAGCCCTGTTTGCAGAGGTATTAATTCCAAAGTGCGTACCGAGTAATCCATCAGTTAGTAAAGTGCTCATTTGGGAGAGCTTTCATATAGTGGTCTATTACTGCATTCTCCCATTTGGGAGAGCTTTCATTTGGGAGAGCTTTCATTTGGGAGAGCTTTCATATGAGCCAAAAAGCCCAAAATATAAGTAAAAAAATCGACTCTTCGAAGTCGGTTCTATTACTGCATTCTCCCATTTGAGGGAATAGCCATTTCCTGCTTCTTCTTTGGGAACAAAATTCCATTTCTACTGTTTTCAATTCTCATTCCCATTTCGGTATGAACCAAACAGGCTATGGGAACACACAATTCTGATCCTAATTCCGAAGGATTTCAATTTTGATTCCAATTCTGATTCTGACTGCAAACCAAATGGACCCTTGATAATTTTCCAGTGAGTCTGACCATGTTGCATCCCCACCTGTATGTAGATTTCTCATTTATAGCACTTGGTTAAATATTAACTAGAATTATTCTTTTCAAATGTAGCTAAAGGGAGGAACGTGAAAACGATCATCATAGGTACAGTGATTATTGGAACACTAACAGTGGCTGTTTTAGCCTACGTTGCTTATTGTTGGAGAGTTAAACGAAAGGGTAATGGCATCTTTCCTTCGGAACACCACTTATTTTTCTATTTTTTTTTTTTTTATTATTATCAAATAAATGCTTGTAGTCATCCGGTGCTATCGTTTTGCTGTCAAATACACTGCATCGATCAAAGCTTTGTGAACTCCAGTCGTCCTGACTAGCGGCTTATGACTCCTGAATTAGGATGCAAGAATGGAAGATCATCAAAGATGCTATTAAGTGATGTGAGTAAATCTTCTGGAGAGGTATTAGGTGCAGACGTACTTAGAGACAGAATAAAGCATAGGAAAAGCTCGGAGCTAACGTTATTCAAATTTGAGGACTTGGCTAAAGCAACAGACAACTTTGATAGTGTAAATAAACTTGGCAAAGGTGGTTTTGGTCTTGTCTACAAGGTATTTGTTTATTTCTTAATTATCACAGACTTCATGGTTAAAGAATCAGTCTCACTGCTCCTTCTCTGTTTAAATATTTTCCCTCAGCATCTCTGCTTCTCTCTTATTTTCTGATAAAGCAAATAAAGCATAATTGTAATTGAGTTATATATCATTGGTTGTTTGTAGGGCAAGTTACAGGGTGGACAACACATAGCTGTTAAAAGACTTTCAAAGAGCTCAGAACAAGGCTTAGAAGAATTTAAGAATGAGGTTATGGTGATTTCTAGTCTCCAGCACAGAAATCTTGTCAAACTGCTTGGTTGCTGCATTGAAGGAGGTGAAAAAATGTTGATCTATGAATTCATGTCCAACAGAAGCCTGGATGCCTTTCTGTTTGGTAAGATATGGATAATACTTTCATTTACCATATGTAGACCAAAAATAAATGAGTTTTTAGTCATAAAGTGGTTTTACATTTGTCCCTATCTGCAAAATTTCTAGCATGTTAATCTATTAATTAACTAAAAATGAGATCATTATTCTTATAGTAATACTTAGTAAATTCTCATATATATTGGCCCATCGATTGTCCAATTAATTTGTTTTATATATCCTTCTACATCAGATGCAACCAAAAGGGCACTCCTTGACTGGAGAAAACGCTTCCATATCATAGAAGGGATTGGCCGTGGACTTCTTTATCTTCACAGGGATTCCAGGTTAAAAATCATTCATAGAGACCTCAAGGCGAGCAACATTTTATTGGATGAAGAGTTAAATCCCAAAATTTCAGACTTTGGCATGGCAAGGATATTAGGAGGAACTCAAGAAGAAGAAAGGACTAGAAGGGTGGTTGGCACATAGTAAGCTACTACTTTAATTCTTTCTACTAATTGCATTTCCAACTTTGAATCCACAATTGTGTATAAGAGTTTTGTTATTCTTAGAGAATATAAACCTCAATCCTTCAAGTTTAATATTCACATCTGAACATCTTGTTTAATACAATGAATTGCAGTGGATATATGTCCCCTGAATATGTCATGCAAGGGAATTTCTCAGAAAAATCTGATGTCTTCAGCTTTGGAGTACTGTTACTAGAGATTGTGAGTGGGAAAAGGAACACGAGTTTTTTCCATCATCAGGAATATGTAAGCTTGTTGGATCATGTAAGTTTGCATAAATCATTCTAACCCAACATATTATATATGGGTTTCCATATCATTAAATTAATGATATATATAATATGGTGACAAAAGTTCTTTTGTGACTTCTGTTAATTGCTTGCAGACATGGAAGCTATGGAATGAAAACAAGCTGGAAGACTTCATTGAGCCAACACTATGTGAACCATGTATTCAACCAGAAATTCTGAGATGCATCCATGTGGGACTACTATGTGTGCAAGAATTCCCAAAGGACAGACCTACAATGTCTACTGTAGTTTCCATGCTCAGTAGTGAAATTGCAATTCTTCCCACTCCAAAGCACCCTGCATTTACTGAAAGGCAAATCCTCCTTGACAAGGATCCTTGTCAAGATAACCAATATATATGCTCTACAAATGTAACCATTACCACCCTTAATGGTCGATAACATGTCAGTGTACATAATTTTGTTCCTCATTATTTTCATTGTAAATGATGAGATTGTATTACTTATCAAGGATAATAATCATCCAATTAATCCACATCAGTTTCAATTTTGTTTAGTTTAAAAATGTGCACAGGACGGATTATTCTGGACATATTATGGCTAGGATTTCGGACTTCTAATAGGAATTCACCTTCAATTGTGCAAGTATAGATTAAAGCATAAATACAAACACGGTTTTTACATACACACTCAAATTAAAGTTGCATTCCTATTGAGTTGCTGGATCCCACCAATAGTGAATCGGGATTTGCCCCTCACACCACAGCCTACCGTGCATTGGAAATATCTCATTAATAAAACACAACTATGGGAGATGTGGCTCTGTGAGGTTGCTGTGAGGAGTGCTCTGCGAGAAGAATGAATAGTAACCAGCAGATCTGGAATATCAAAACCAATGTTCCATTTTAGCCTTGCAAAACATTCAAAACTCAGCAGAGCGTAAGAGAAATTGTGTTTTAGGTCAAGTTTGGGAGTGTTTAAAAATAAGTGATTATTTGAATAAGCACTTATTTTAGACTGGGACTATACCGATAAGAACTTATTTGTATTTGAAAAATAAGTCTAAAACAAAAATAAGCACTTATTTGAGAAGTCCAAAATTTAAGCTTATTTTTAAGTACTTATTTCCTTTCTAGCCTATCTTGACCCACCATATCATTTTAAAAATACATATACCACCCTATTTAAAATAAGTGCCTTTTCACCAAATGCTCGTAAGAATAAGCACTTATTTTTCAAATAAGTACTTTCAAACAATGTTTTCAAAATCAGACCAGACTGGAAAAACCGGTCACCTGACTGGGTGGTCAAACTGTCAAACCATTTGACCCGGGAACAGTTTTTGGTCATTTTTTGTTTTTTTTTTTAATTTTTAATTTTTTTGTCAGAGCAGGCCATCTGTTTGGACCGGGCGATTGGACCATTCAACCCAAGAACCAGACCCAGAATGGTTCCCTGTCCGGTCCGCTTTTAAAAACCTTGCTTTCAAACTTGGCCTTAAAAGGACCCTGCTTTGACCCTGCATTCAGTGCTTTGTGTTTGGATTTCCTGGTAGCATTTAATGAAATATATTTCAAGAAATTTTCATTTGACAGTCTAAAACTCTAGTTTCTAATTCATGCATATAATATATAGTTTCTAAAAATTTTAGGAGAAATATATGTTTATTGGGAACAGAATTTTGACAGTCAAACCCTATTTTAGAGGCTTGTTATACATTCTAGATAAAAAAGATGGAAGTATTTCTCATTTTCTGTATTCTATCTATTCGAATGTTAATTTTCGTTTTTGTTTCTTTGGGATTTCTATCCCATTCTAGATAAAAATTTGGAGTGAAGTCTTTAAGGCACCTCAGACTCTCAGAGTCGATATGATTTATAGGACAAATAGTGTGGACCTTTTGGAAGGTTCAAATTCTCAAGATTAGCATTTTTTGTATCTATTTAGATTCAATTTGGATTTACATAAATGGGTTCAAGGAAATTGGACGCGGTTTTTTAAGTAAAGTCTTGGACTGATCTGGGCCTTCTGTAAGCCCACAAAGAATAGGTTGGGCCTAAACGAGGAATCTCAAAATCCAGTCAACCCAAATTTGAGTATGTGCATATGGCGTTATGCATGCAACTTTAAAATTATATACATGTAATTGTATTGTTGCAAAATGGCATCTGCTAGTTGCTACCTACTCTTGGAGTTTTCCTCATTCACTTGAATTTGAGTCTCTCAGTTTACATTTTTTTTTTTTTCTTTCATAGACAACATCTTACTTTTACATTTAAATATGCAGTCCATAAATATAATATCCTAAAATATATGACCATAACAATTTAGACCTACAAAAATGTTAGTAAACCATGTTCAGGATCCCATAGGCCTGTTGGACCAGAATGACCCTAAACAGGCCCTGGCTGGGTCCAGCCTTGGCACAAATTGCATAATCACAATCCAGGCTTGGGCTGGCCATACATCGATTCCGGCCTATGCCAAGTGGTAGAGCTAGCTGCATGTCAGTACTCAGAAAGGGAAGAAATCAAACAACAGAGAAGAAATGGGCAAAATTTAATGAATATATACTGATACCCATAATGCCTATCTGGCTTGGCATATTGTTATAGAAACATCATTTACAGAGAAAATGTTGTGGTTCCTTGAAGAGGACTCTGTATCAGATGTAATCTGCCTTTGTATAAACCCAGGTTGCTTTGGAGTAGGGAGAGTTGCAATTTCACAACTGAGCATGGACATTACGCTAGACATGGTTGGTCTGTCTTTGGCAAATTCTTGAACACATAACAGTCCTACATGGATACATGTCATAACTTCTACCTGAATGGACGGTTCAAGTAAGGCTGGATCGATCATCTCCAAGATAGTGCCTTCACTCCATAATTTCCATACCTGAAAAAACATACAAGTTATGACTTATGGGAATCCACCAATACAAAAGAAATTAAGGAAGAAGCTCCATGCATGATTAATACTTAAGCAACGGAAACACGTAATCTTACATGTCCCAAAAGGTTTGAAGGAGCCTCCTCTTGGAAAAAGCTATTATTCTTTCTCCCGCTTACAATCTCCAGTAGCAATATTCCAAAGCTAAACACATCAGATTTTTCAGAAAATCTCCCTTCCATTGCATACTCAGGAGACATATAGCCACTGCATTTCAATAATCCAAATGCTTAATGAATTTAAAGCAACTAATTAAAGATATAGAGATAATGCAAATTCATGATAGAATCAAAATAACCAGTTCCAGCAAAAGAACCAGTTAGTACTTACTATGTCCCAACTACCCTTTTCGTATTCGCTTCGTCTTGACTACCTCCAAATATCCTTGCCATGCCAAAATCTGAGATTTTGGGGTTCAGCTCTTCGTCCAATAAAACGTTACTTGCCTTCAGATCTCTGTGAATAATTTTTAATCTAGAATCCCTGTGAAGATAAAGAAGCCCTCTGCCAATCCCTTCAATGATATGGAAACGTTTCTTCCAGTCTAGAAGTGTACGCTTGGTTGGATCTGAAAATTAATATAAATTAATTAAAGCATAGGAAACCTTTCTAAAATAAATAAATAAAAAAAAAAATGTAATGTAGTTGTGTCAAATTCTTCATGCCGTACGTGTTATGTATGTCCAAATTAATGAAAGCGTGTGAATAACATAAATAGCTCTATAAGAAAACAAAAAGTCTGTAATAAACTGTTTAAAATGGAAATCTTACCGAAAAGAATAGCATCAAGGCTTTTGTTGGCCATGTATTCGTAGATGAGCATCTTTTCCTCCCCATGAATACAACAACCAAGGAGCCTGACAAGATTCCTATGCTGCAGTTGTGATATCACCATAACCTCATTCTTGAACTCTTCTACGCCTTGTCCAGAGCTTTTCGAAAGCTTTTTTACAGCTATTTCTTGCCCGTCCAACAATGTTCCCTGGTGATCAATAATCAATAGCTTACTAAATTCTCCATCTTAATAATTAGTAAATATTAAGGCGAAAGGAGATGAATGGCCATGGTTTAATCTTACCTTATACACTATACCAAAGCCGCCTTCACCAAGCTTGTTTGCTGTATCAAAGTAGTTTGTTGCCTTTGCCAAGTCCTCCAGTTCAAATGCTGGTAGTTCCCTTCTTTTACTTGTCATTATGCCGTCTTCAAGCATGCCAACATCGGATAGATCTGTAGATACCTCCCCTAAATCCATGTTTTTCTTCATTTTCTTTCGCCCTGTTCCAAGATTTTAGTATCAAATTCTTATTTCTTATTCCCTTGATTCTTGGTTTGGGTAGTAAGTTTTCAGAACAATGTCCTTGGAGTTGCTCGCATGCAGGTTGGGCCTATATTTTAAATTTCTAATGCCATGGTCTCGCCAGGTCCAGACCAGCTTTGAGTCCATGCTATGTTCAAGCTGGGGGTTTATCCAGTAATACAGACAAGTAGAGGCCATGATAGGACATCTACTTATTATTATATTGTATACTATTAGGGTAAAGACCCCCTACTATATATGGGGTCAATGAAAATTACCCCTTGAACTTTCGTTTGCAATATGTTTGGAAGGAATATAAATACAAATACGTAGAGTGAAAAACCTTGTATTTTGTATTATTTGTATTGTACATANGCCATTATGGGGTCAGTGACAATTATCCATTGAATTTTCACACAATTATCCATTATGGGGTCAGTGACAAGTAGAGACCATTTTTTTATTTATTTGAATTTGATTAGTTTTCTAAATACCATATTAAAGTCCTCTTGATTGCTCTAAGCCCATTTGGCACATCTTTTCATCTGGTTTGTCGGTTATTTAGAAGCCTGGCAGATCGCATTGTCATCATTTTTCATTTGGTTCAGAAGAGATCTAGCCGCCAAAAGATAGTGTGTCGATGTGTAAAACCTATTTTGGGCTATTTTTGAGAAGATTCAAATGGAATTTTTCAGTTTTTTCAACTTGTCTTCACACAGAAAACATGCTTTAACCAAATGGTTTTAAGTCTATCAAGATCTTGATGCAAAAGATCACTATAACTTTTAACTGTCAGAACTTTGAGAATATCTTTTAAAAAAACTTGCCAAATGGCCCAATAATTAAGAATAAAAATTTAAGGAAATTTTTATCACAAATAAAAGTTTAAGAGGGTAATTGTCCCTGGCCCCATAATACAATAACGATCATTATAATTTACCCTTAATTGCTTTTATTTCACTTTCTTTTCATTTATTGTTGCGTTTTCGCAATTTAAAGTTAATAATTTGTAAAAAGGCAAAATAAATAAATATTGGGTTATTATCTGAAGCTTCCACTTTTATATCATCCATAACCCTAGGCAGACAAACACATTTATTTAGGACACACGTCTCATCCATGAAGTTGACAAAGATTAGTTAATGATAATACAGGAAGAGGGTATCGTGGCTGTGTTCATGTTTTATTTGAAGACATTTATCTTGTTTATATAACCAACAAACCACGGTAACAAAACTATCAAAAGCCCCACTTTTTTGAATATCATAAAAGAAAAATAAGGCTGATATGACCAAGGGATTCTGTGTTTATACACATGAAACATATGACATATAAACATTCTAGGATCAAAGCTGAATGACAGTAGATGGATTGCAAGTCATACAAAAAAACTGACAATGTGTTGACTCAGAAAAAATGAACCATGAACAAAACAGAGGTTGTGGTTCTGTGTGATTCAAAACCGTTATTTCATTTTCAAAACGCGGTGATATGATTCTCAAAATCTTCTTTTACTGAACCACGAAAATAACACCCAAGAAGTGGTCAACTATCCACATGCGCCATTGTTTTTTAATGACAAAACTAACCTTGATTAACAAATGTACAGTGTACACTATTATTAGTTTTAATACCATACAACTATTCTTATTTTGTTTATTTATCCATGTTTTTCTGTCAATAAAACAACATGTTCCAATTCTTGACACTACACATTTAGATCCACCTACAAGTAGGACCCATTATATTTGAGATGTACAGTATCAGATAATGTTGGTAGGGTGTTAAAACATATTTTATTGATACTGATCTGGGCTCGTATTTAATTTGATCCAATGGGTGAGAATAGTTTGTAAGAAAGAGGGGGGGAGGGGGGGTACAGTGGGGAATGAAACAAAATTCAAAGGGATATAGAATCATTGGTGGAGTTGTTGGTAAATAAAACCTAAAAAGTTAATAAGAATCCCGACTGAACTCTAAATTTCCCTTAGAAAATTTTGGTTGAAAGGATGAAGTTTGAGTAGGGGGGAGCATCTAACGGAAACTGTCTACCACAAGAGTGTTTAGACTTTAGAGGTACCAACAAGGTAGGTAAGTTTAAGAGAAAAACAAAAAGGTGGAGGGGTGCTTCAGATATGAACCCAAAAATATTACATGTTTTGCTAGAAAGATAGCCGGAAGGATTGGTTGCCCAAATCCAGGCCTGCACTTAGACTGTATGTCAAACTAAGCAATTTAGCTGAACCCCGTCAGTCTATTCTAGTAAATAACATCCCATGTACGCCCATATGCTAAGCTAAGCCCAGCCTCACCCATGAAATCTAATTAGCACGTTACCTCTTAGTTTAGCCGTCCACATCCATGAGAAGTAGGTTATCACACCTATGATAGCTGTTCCAATGACCACTGTTGTTATGATAATCACTTTGGAGTCTTTTCTACCTGCTCTTAAAGAACACAGACAGGAAATAAAAATACCATCAGAAAGAAGACAGACAGGCATGTGGATAATGCATGAGTTGATAACCAAACCACCAAAATAAAATTAATATTGGTTTGGTGTATTCTGCAACTGAATGAGTCAGAAACTACATGCTTTCTACCCCCCAAAAAAAAAAAAATATATATATATATATATATATATGCAAGTGTCGAACTCTGACGTGGATAAGAGATATTTTATCATTTAATAATAATAGTAATAAAAATAATAACAGGATGTCGATCATCACACCAAGAGGCGGCGGCGGAAGAAGAAGAAAGAAGAACGACAAGAACGAGAATAACTACGACGACAAACAGGGAATCGAAAGAGGGGGAATGAAAGGATGTTCGTACCGAATTCAGAATAAGCTAAACGGATGTAAAGGTCCACTCCGCCGCTAGAGAATTTCTGCATATCGATCAAACTCCCACTCCAATACATACATCCAATGTTGATATCAAATGCATAAGCTGTACAAGAGCAGTTGCTCAAACACTGCTCTTCACACTGTTTTATATCAGCAGCAGCAGACCAGTCTGCAAAATCCGGAACTTTCATCATGTTCACCTTCAAAAATCCATCTGCTTTCCCCACTTCACCGGTGCTGTTGCTTCTCTCACACTGTAATTGAGTCCTCCTCACGCACCCACCGGACCAATTTCCCTTGCCCCATTCCTCGGTAGACTTGGGTGTGAATCCCTCCGAACAGCTACAGATTGGTGAATCTAATGCGTTACAGCTTCCGAAAGGCCCGCAGTTCCCGTAAATATCACACTCCGTATTTGGGGCTGACCACTTTATAAACCAGTTGTTGTTCTCTTCATCCCAACGATATTCTACTAATTTCCCTTCGGGGTCCATGACAAACCTCGCAAATAAAGGATCACTGACAAAAGAGAAACTTAGGTACGCTCTCCCCACTTTAGAATCAGAATCGAGATTGAATCCGTCGAGGTAAACGGATTGCATGTCGGGCACCCCTAGAAAAATCCGATTATTCCATGGACCACTCCGCCAGTACGGCGACGAACCGTTCCAGATGAAGACCTGAGGAATGTTGAGAGGGACAACAGCTGCAGAGAAGGTGCCTATAGAGGGATTAGACTGATCTTTCCATGCTGTTAGCAGTTGTTTCTCGCCTGTCTTCACGTTGGTGCCTAGCTTCATGTTGGGCAAGAATGTATCAGAAGGGTGAAGAAAGCTCTGCCATAAGATTCCTCCACTTACTGTGTTATTGCCATCATTTGAAATTCCTTGTTGCAGGACAAGATTCCCTGAATCCAAGAGCTGGGCACTTGAATTTTGTGAGATATTTGAAGCACTTGTCGACCAGATAACTGTTTTCTGTCCATCCAAGACGACTAGATTTCCATTGTTGGCAATCATAACGGTTCCAGACGAATCCGTGAGTGGTTTTTCTCTGTTAGCAACCCATACGACTGTAAGTTCGCTCATGTTGTTATACCAAATCCCGACATACCGGTTCGTCGAATTCTCGGGGCTGAAGAAGCCTAATTTGAATATGCTGTTTGGGGAAACCATGGTTTCTGGGTCTGTAATGTTTTGGGTTGATGTAATGATATTGGAATTGGACAAACATAGAATAGAAGGAAGACAAAACCAAAGAACCAGGAGGAAAGAACTCACAAAACACCCACAGCAACTATTAAACTTGGCGAAACCCATAGTTCCGTCCATTAATGGTGCTTCTATTGAAGATGATGATAATGAACTAGAAACTGATCGAGAAATGAAAACTGAAAATTAAACTGAATATAGTATAGTATCTGACAAAGGAACTGCCGTCCAATTCTTACCTTGACCTTTTTATTTTCGACCTAGCTAGGAGGTTGACCGTCAGACCAATTCAGTTCCCTACCACCTTCGTTGAAGGAATGTAGACCATCGACAGGGAGAAAACACGGCCACGTAACCCATTTTAATGTTATTTAGATTCTGTGGAACCTGGGCCACGAGGCTTTGACGTCCACCTCGGAAAGATGCCTTTTTCTTCTTTTTTTTTTTTGGTTCCGACAGCAAATGTTTCTTCTTTCTGATCCAACTACATGTTCTGGAAGATTCTCGGTTTGGCGTTTTTGCCACTGAAATTTGGAAGGGCTGTGACAAGCCCTGTCACGGCTTGTGGTTTTGACGTTTGGGCTTCCGGTTAACGGACAGGTTTTTCAGCTATTGTTAGGTTTACACAACTTCATCATGTTTGACTTTGACTGTTAATCCCGAACATCCACCCGGTGAAACAAATGTCCTATAATATTATTTATTACAATTGTTTTTTTTATGATAAAAAAAAGTAAAAAACTTAAACCTCCCCTGAAATTTTATCTAAACACCAAAACATCCCTCATTAAAATGGACTTAAACCTCATATCAGCGGACACAAACCTCCCATCCTTTAAACTCTCTTTTCGTGTTTGTTAGCACATGACCTCATTTGCTGTTATTTTTTAAATTCCAATGATACCCTTTATTACCTTTTTGCCTTAATCGATTGTCTTATATGCATACAAACCTCTCCTCATCGATCAAAATTCAAAAGCAAACTTTATCAAAGGTCCTTATTTATAAAAACATTAAATCTGTTTTTTAATTTTTAAACAATTCTTTTTGTAAAATATACAAACAAATGTGAAGCGGTTTCTATGAAGCCAATAAGAGGATTGCTTCAGCTATTAGTCATTTTAATCCCCAATTTAAGCTGGGGTATATTAGTCATTTTACTTTTTTATGTTAAAAGATAACAGTATGCAAATCTGGGAGGGGAGGTCTAAGTCCAATTTAAAAAATGAAGGGATATTTCAGTATTTGAGTAAAATATTAAGGGAAGTCTTACTCATTTACCCTAAAAAAATGTGCCTTTGACAGGTACACGCCACATTCCCCGTGAATAATAATATAAATTGATGTTCTCTATGTGTGGCTATGGTGGAAATCCAAACTGAGCGTGTGATCGATTATTTTTCAAAAAAAAGTGCGAGACCAATTATGAGGCGCTCATTTATGAGGCGCAGATCCCATCACTTAGTATACACATGGTGGAGGGCTTGTCTTCACCCCTCTAATCAATGGGAAGGATGTCAATTCTGAATGGCCTGAAAGTAAAACCTTGGCACACCTAGCATCCAGCCACATATAAAGAATATCTCCGTGTATATACGTAGGGAGATGCTCACAATGAATTAACTTTGGCTGTTGGAGGTACAACAGCCTATGATATTGAGAACGTCTTTAGGCTGGAAAGATTGAATAAGTTGATTCAGGAATCTTTTATATATAGTCATGGCATTGTTTATACTCTTTTGTGTTCTTCGGTGCTGATCTCATYCGTATTCCGATCGAATAGGTGYTGATTTTCATATAGCACCTCTTTCACATAAGGAAGTGGAGGCGGGGAAAATGCCCTGCCCGTAGGTTCGTTTGTCATTGGGGTTTTTTTTGAGGGGGCATGGCATTCCGAGGAGGGAGAGATCGAATAAAGAAGTGGTGGCCGACAGCTAGAGGGAATTGCGGCCYGAAAGGACGATAAACAGCGTTTTAACAGCCGTTGACTAGGATCCCTAATCACGCTTTTTAAACAGGCCTTCGGCTTACATCAAACTGGCCTTTAAGAGCCTTTACTCCATAGCTCTTAAAACAGGAAATACATAACCCATATCTATTTTCTTTACTGGCTTAATTGTGCAATCAAGAGTCGAAAGAGGAAAATATGTTTACCAATTCACGCCTATGTCTATATTTATGATTGAAAAGAAATAAGTGGCAATTACTATTTTGCCATGATTCACAATGTGCATGTAGATGCCATGATTTTAAAGTGTGTGCAGAGTTTTTGCTTCCAGGAGGGATTCATTGCACTAAAAACTTGAGATTTGTTGCTGAAGACCGGTAAGTGGGTCAGATTTGGGTTGGATTCAACACATCCTAACCCGTTCCAACTAATGAAACGAAATTCAAATGCTCCTATTAGATTAATTTGGCCATTTGGGGATCTTGGATCGGACTCAGATTTAATGACTCCACTTCATATTTTTTAACTTATATGTATGATAAGTTAATCTAAATATAAAATATTGAATTTATTATGTATATAGATTTATATATTTTTACTTATATATAATTATATAAATTTTGTATATTAAATCAACATATATCATAAAATAATCAGTCTCACGTTTTCAGAATATATTTTACAGCATTAAGTCAAACTAACAAAAGACCGTGTTAGAAATATTTTGATTGGCTTACAGGTATCTTTTGGGCATTTGGTGTTTCAACCCAAATGCCATTGCTTATTAAAATAAAATTTAAAAAGAAGGAGATCATTGTAATTAGGTCTGTTAATGGACGGATTCAGCTGCATCCACATCCACATCCGATTATGATAATTTTAAATCTGAATCATATCAGATTTTGGTTTAGATTCAGATTTAATTTGTAACCATATTATTGTATATAAAATGATCAATAATTTTTTTAAATAATTATTTAATTTATATATGTATAATAAATGTATATAAATATAAAATATTAAATTTATTAATTATAAACTTCTTATAATCAGGTCAAATGTGATTAAATCCACGTCTACAAGTTGCATGCAAATTTGAAATAATCAGATTCAAAGTCAAATGAGGTATCAAATTTTCAGGCAATCATGACTTTTCAACCTCACAGCAAACATATAGGTGCATCTGGCCACCTAAACCATTCGGTTCTTGGTTATTGTCGAGTCTAAACTAACACATTGTTAAGTTAATACTTTCCCACATGCATTGAATTTTTTCATTATAAGACAGAGAAGTTGAAGTTTCAACATCATTTATTAAGGCTCAATTATATAGGTTAAGTGTAAATTTTGGTTTATTTTTGAATTAGATTTCACATTGCCATTTGTTTGTGAGAAGTAATGCAGTCCCCATTTTATATGGATAATTGAAATATGCGTAAGGTGATGCAAATTTTACATCATTTTTTGTGATGTAAGATTTGCATTACTAGTGAAAAAAAAAATAAGATGGAAAATACAAATTTTGTGTGCAAATTATAGTTACAAATAAATACATCAAATACAAAATTTGTATTCAATTTAGATTTATGTATTGCAAACAGACAGAGCCTAAAAAAAAAAAAAGATTTGTAAAAGGACGAGACTTCATCTACCATTGGCTTGTTGACACATTCTAAACGAGCAGGTGACCAGACTTCCATGTGAGAAATACGTGAGAGCGGAGAAGCATCGAAGATGACATGTAAGCTGCCATTTTAGAATATTGTTAGCAAGTCTATAATTTATTGGTAAGATATAATTCATATACCAAATCCATCCATTTGTTTATTCTCTTCGGTACTATTAAAGGATAATGAAGACAATCAGACATGACATATGATGAAAATATCGCAATCCACTACAAAGAATGGAAAATCTATGCTGTCAGAAAGATAATATTAGAATATCTTTAACCAATCAAAACCCCTCATAAATTTTGATTAACACGGTTACTATTTTTATGATATCGTTTGATTTTTATAATATCAGTTGATTGCTTTTTTCCATCATATATCATAATCGAGCCCTATGTGGGTACGTGGGTCATCAGCTTATTCAATTTCATCAAGAATTGAAAAAAAAAAAAAAAAATCATTTTCCTTCATAAAAGACAGAAGCATTACTCCAGTGCGAGATATAAGCTTAGATGTGACATGATGCATTAATGAAATACAAAATCCCGATACAAAGATGCATGTTTCCGAGTTTTTTTTTTTTTTTTTTTCAGGTAGAAACATAAGGGGCTAGACAATACGGGGGTAAAATTAAATCTTAAACTAATTTACATGAACCCAATAACAGTATGTGCTATAGAAGTGGGCATGATAAGAGAAATGTTTTCTTTATGGTAGCAATTAGTACACATCCATCTTCAAATTTGATTTGGTAAGAACTCAAGAGATCCAAACTTGATTTGATATCGAATAGGCAATAGATACGTAAAACATAGAAAATGGTATTTATAATTAATAATAATTATTAATTAAATATTAATAATAAATGATAATAATAATTATTATTAATCAACGTTTTAAAAATTGCCCCAGAAATGGAACCGTTCTAGGCACCGGTTTTCGGTTCAACGGTCCGACCGTCCAGTTCGAACGGATGGCTTGTTTTGACAACAAAATTAAAAAAATAAAAAAACAGTCAGAAACCATTGAACGGGTTACGGGTCGACGGTTTGACCGCCTGGGTCAACAGTTTGTTGACTTTTTCAACGGTTTTGACTAGATTCCAGGTTTTGGGTAAAACAGAACCAGTTGCCTGGACGATTCCCAGGCCGAACGGTCCGACCATCCGGGTCAACGGTGGTTTGAAAACATTGTTATTAATTATTATTTAATAAGTAGTAGTAATAATATAATAATAATAATAATAATAATAAAATGATTAATTACTATAATAATAAGTATTAATTAATTATTAATTATTAATTAGTTATTAATTAACTTTTAATTATTATTGCATATGAGGCCCTTGGATTATAAGAAGGATAAGTGTTTTGTATTTTAGGAGCATCATTAGAAAACAAAAAATATAAGATTCCTCTTTAAGAGAGGAGAAATAAGAGGAAACGAATAACAATTTTCCTCTTAAAGTTGTAAGATTTGTTTGTTTCCCGTTAAGAGGTAAGATTTAAGAGAAAATAAACAGGCCCTAAGATTAACTATGAAATAGAAGATAAATACTATAAATAAAAACAAATTATCTAAATTC